TACCTTAGATTTACTCGTAACATTGGGCTGAATTATACTAGATATCCAGCAGTACTTGAAGGGTACTGTGATGCGAACTGGATATCGGATACTAGAGACTCAAAATCCACCAGTGGGTATGTCTTTAGTCTTGGTGGTGCGGCTGTATCTTGGAAATCTTCCAAACAGACTTACATTGCTAGGTCTACTATTGAATCAGAATTCATAGCTTTAGATAAAGTTTGAGAAAAGGCAGAATGGCTTTGCCATTTCCTTGAAGATATTCCAATGTGGCAAAAATCGGTGCCTGCTATATGCATACATTGTGATAGTCAATCAACAATAGGTAGAGCACAGAGTCATATGTATAACGGTAAGTCACGACACATTCGTCGTCGACATAACACCGTAAGACAACTACTCTCTACTAGAATTATTTCCATTGAATATGTAAAGTTTAAAGATAACATGGCAAATCCATTAACCAAAGGGTTAGCAAGAGAGTTAGTTGAGAATTCATCGAGGGAAATGGGACTTAAGCCTATTAAATAAGAGTTACCACAATGGAAACCCAATCTAGTTGACTGGAGATCCCAAGATCTAAGTTCAAAGGGACAACCGAGTTGTGTATGACTCATAAGGATCACTGGGGAGTCAAACGCCTACCCATTTCTATGAAGAAATAGTGATGTCTGCAGCGTTTTAGATTAAGTAATACTTTTAATGATTCTTATATCTAGGTATACCTAGTGATCTAGGTATACCTAGTGGAGTATGGTAGGATACTCTTCATAAGAATCACCTATATTAGTATGAATTGGGCCGGTTCTATGAGATTTGTAAAATGCTACAATTCTCTACAACACTCATGAAAGACCAGGTTGTTCAGGGGCCAAAATGAACACAATAGTGAAAACTAAATTGTGTCTGGTAATATACTGTGTGAGTTCTATTGTCTTGGTTTACACGAACGGCTGAACAGTTCAAGATATCATGTTCACTAGTTAGCTAGTAAATCCGATAGTGTCTCATAAGGAAAGGTTCAAAACCAAAAGCTACCTATCATTTGCATAATATTTCCAATTTCTATACTCTCTGTAATTAGATCATGTTGTTACATTTTCTCTTCGTCATATTCCATTCATGTGGGGGATTAATGGAAATCTTGGTTTTTATAGGCTTACTTTGGGCCAACTGGCCCAAAATTGAGCGGGGTCCACACGTCTTTTGAGGTGAGTCCAAAGAGATGACGTGTTCCTTGCCGCATGGCAAGTCACACGGTGAAGACGGTTCGTCAAAACCATTTATGAGTGAATGAGAACTTGACGTTGTTTTCAAATTAGTGGAATGGACATTTAAAGAATTAAATGTGAGTTTTCTTAAAATCAATTATCCCATATTGAAACGTTAAGAGAGCTTTTGTGAGTATATAAGCTCTTAGTGTACTAACTTGGGTTGGGCCCCAAAGGGCACCCCAAGTTTGTAGAAGGGAAGAGTTATGGACAAAGTAAACCTTAGCCCAAACCACCACACGCGCGTCGCTGTCGTTCCTGCCGCTGCCCGTCTGACCAACCGGCTGTGTCGGGCGTGGTTGTGGGTCGGGTTGGTTTTAATATTAATTTTTTGGACAAAATTTATTTGAATTTTTAATGAAATCAAATTCAAAATTTGTGCCAAAAATTGAATTAATTTTCTGTCCATTTTTATCTCCTTCAGTCCGAAATTTCCAACAGGTTAACTGTTGGAATCTACTCATAGCTATTGCAGTTACACAGATAGAAACTACACAATTTGGACAGATTTGTTGAATTTTGGACTGCATCTGTTCATTCAAAATCTGCACCTGTTCGGGCAGATTATTTTGCCTATAAATACCAGCATTATTCCAACAGTTTGGACATCCAAAAATAATCTAAAAGTTTCATTTTGCTGTCCAGTTTTGCTTCTTTGCATAAATACTCTTCATATTAGTTTTTAGGAAAAAATTAAAGAGAGTATAGAACGCAAGGTTTTTGTTCGCTGTATAAATTGTTTGAAGTGCTACTACAATTTGTGAAGATCATTGTATTCTGGAAGATAGACGCCATTTTTCCATAAGCACCGTAGCGGGGTGAATCTGTCTTAAGGACAGACTATCACACACTCGACTTGATCTTTAAATATTTATTCGGTTCGGTAAAATAAATTTGGAACGTAATTTATTTATTTGTTTGAGTTGTTTCAATTTATTTATTTTACACAGAAGATTTTTCCAACACTATACAGACAAGTCTATTGTGAAGAACTTCTCATCAAACAAAAGTAGAAAGTGAAATAAAAGAGCATCAGTGTTTTGGAGGTGTGGGGTTCCAAGATTTAGGGAGTAGTAGGCTAAAAGAGAATTAATATTCTTCTTTCAACTTCATAAAATTTTCCCAAGTGCTATGTTAATTTACATGTCTTGTGTATGTATGAAATGTTGGTATGCTTGGAAATGGGGTGTAAGTTTAGGTGTTAGTATGAATAAGTGATGCTACCTTGTATTTTCTGCTGATTTCATGACTATCACTCTTGGAAAAATATCAAACTTACTTCTTTTTTAAAACTGAATGTAGGGGATGATCTTTGAGGTGTTTAGAGCATGTGAAATTTTTGGTAGCCCCTAATTAGACGTTTTTATAGTCTAAACAATTTTCTTAAACAATCTAACCCTGTGTTTCTAGAAAACAGACCATTTTCGTGTATTTAAAAAAAAACAATTCTAGAAAAATCATCTTAGGTTGGTTCTTATGTCAAAACTTATCATTTTTAGTCCTCTTTCCAAAAAAATTTATTTGAACAAAAGTTATTGGGTAAATTGGGAGAAATGCTCATTTTCCTAAAACTGTGTCAAATCTGGACAGAATATGGCGTGTGGCCTATAAATAAAAATTCTGGTTGGGTTATGCAAATTCTGAAATTGGGAATGAAAGTAAACTTATTATTCTATGTTTTAGTTAATTTTCAGAACCTAAAACGGTCCAAAAGTATTTTTACCGACCCAATCCTTTGGCTCCTACTAATCTAAAATCTGCTAAAAATGTGTTACTTTTTGTGTTAAATGTTCCTGAGTGCTCAAAAACATGCCAAACGTTGTTTACTTTCCTTACCATACTAGTATATATTAATTTGTTATATTTCATCCCATATACTTGCCTCACATTCATGTATATTATTACAGTTAGATGTTGGTTTTGATGTTGAAATACTGGGTGGGCAAAATGACATCTTGATATTTGAGGTTTTTTTTTTTTTTAATTGTTGTCATGCAGAATTTTGGTGTTGTTCTAAAGATAATAGATGTCTTGAAGTTAAACAAATAAAATAGAAGTCTTCTAGGAGTACACATTTTGGTACATGTGTTTTGGAATGGAAAACTTTCCCTCGATCACTAATTTCTTATTTTTTGTTTTGAACAACCAAGAACACTAAATTTGGAAACCTGGATTTTTTTTCTTATTAGGTTTCTTTTATAAGACAAAACATCAAATAATGTTAGGAATAACATCTGCTTGACAAATTAGAAAGCATATTTTTTTTTATAGCATAACTATCTATTCTAACATTGCTAGAAAAGAACAAATAAGAATCTAAAATGTTTGATTAGTTCTCTCTACTGTTGATTCTCTTTAGGTGTTCAGATCTTCTATTCTCAGATATCATTAAATTTGGCCATGATGCAGCTGTGTTATGGCCTGAAATGTAGGATTGTTGCAAGGAGCTATTTGTGACTACTGCATCTAATTCTGCTGTCTGCATTGCTAGAACTGTAAATCCTGCTGGAGTTGTGCAATTGATTGCTGCTGTTGTAGCTGGTGCAACTGGTTGCTAATATATTTTTTTGTGTATAGATGACATATTTTGTATAGAATTATTATTTTAGATTGGAATATATTCAGTTTGTATGAAATTTGACATTAAAGTGATTCCTTTAGAGCATCTCCAACGGTGGACCAAAATTTTCACCAAATTTGAATTAAAAAAGCCAATTTTCTCAATCTGATATGGCTTGCTCCAACCGTGCATCAAAAGGAAAGTGGTCGACCGGTGAGGCAATTTTTTTTTTACCTGTTTGAACCTTTTTGACCGATTTGAACCTACCTATTTGAAAGGGAACCGGTCGACCGGTTAGCTCACCTCAATGGTAACGCACAGTGAAATGATGAAATCTGGAACCTGTTCTCACTTTAATGAATTTTTTTGTTCCATTCTCATTTTGATACCAATTCGGTAAAACCATTAGAGCTCTAAAAAGTGACTTTTTCACCAAATTTCAAATCTGATGCAAAGTTTGGTTCACCGTTGGAGATGGTTTTATGGATAGTTGGAAGTGAAATGGTTGAAAATTGTAGAATGATTGATAATATATGTATTGGTTTATTTATATACATGGTACATGTTGCACGGAATATATACAGGTTGTGGACAAAATAATTATAAAAAAATAAAATCATGTTTTTGACGACTAAACAATTGGTAACCAAAAAGGAAGTAAATATTTTTAGCGACTAAATAGTTAGCAGCTAAAAAATAAAAATAAAAATAAAAATAAAATGAAAAAAACTTTTTGGCTACTAAGTACTTAGTAGCTATAAAAAAATCAGATTTTAAGTGACTAGACTTTAGTAGTTAAAAAAAATAATATGAAAAAAAAGAGTTTAGCCACTAAAACTTTAGTAGCGAAAATGACAATTGTTGTAGTGGTAATAAAAATGGAAGAATACTTGCCCTCCATTCACCTTTGGAATGCAAGGCTCTATACATTTTTCTTAGAATAGACATCTAAAATTTTAAATTTCACAATTTATATAAAAGAAATCACACTAACTAAAAGAAATTAAAAAATTTCAATAAATTTTATCCATAATGAAAGAACTAAATAAAAATAAAAAATAAAGTAATAAATTCAATTTGACGGATACTTGGTACAAATAAATATTTCTTTTTATAAATAAAATTTTTGTTGGTTAAAAATGAATACTTTCAAAACACATGCCACAAAATTGTAATAATATGTCAATAACAAAACACAAACATTTTAAATAAGCAAACTCACGTGAAAAGTCTCTAAAATATCAAAAACCCTTTAAAACATGTTTAATCACATCAAAAACCAATTAAAAAAACACATTGATAATGATTGTCTGAGCTGCTGCTACTTTGGTGCCTGTGTCTACTGTTATTCTGTTCGTTTGGTGTTTTTTTGTGTACCTGTGCTGTCTTGCTTTGGTGCCCCTGTAACTCCTGTTCTGGTGCACGTTTGCTAACAAGTCAGCAGTATGAGAATCTGCTAATCTGATGCATTTTGATAATCTGGTGCCTCTGTACCTGTGTGATGGTTACATAGTTGCTTATGTTTGGTGCATGTTGATAGCTTTCCAGGGATTCAAAATTCTGTGGAACAGTTCTAGAAAATAAAAAATAAAAAGAACATGAAAACACAAGGACAAACTAAAAAAGAAATTGAAGTTAGCTTTCAAATTTTCAAAATTAGGAAGCAGTACTTTTTTTGTTTTTCCCTATACACATTGGACAACATGTTAGCATCAAAAAAAGGTGTCTTCCAATAAAACAAAAACATGAAATATGTTCGGTAATGATAGAGTTCTAAAACTAGTGTAAGGTGCACTTATTGCAAAAACAAAATCTTCTAGCGAGAAGATTTTTTTTTACCAAATACACGTACCAAAGAAAAAATTAAGCAATGATAGGACTACCAACCAGTAGCCCAATCCAAAAAATAAAAAGATAAATAAATAATAAAACTTTGAATGGTTATGGTGTCACCCCAAAAATTGGTAAACTTCAAACAAGTAATGGTGATCGAAACACACAGAACCAATCCTTTGATGATTGGGTATTATGTAACATTATGCCAAATTAAAAAAAAAATTCCATATCACACTATATATAGTTGTAGTGTCCAGATGTAGTTCACATAATCAATTAATGACAAATTAGTGAACATCGATGGACACCCTCAAGAGAAATGAAACAGAGTGCTGAGCACCTAATTTCAATCTCTTTCATTTCTTTTCCAGACATTCAACGGTCCCCACAATCATGCCTGTGGTGACACCTGCCATTTGTCTGGTCAAATTCTAACAGTGACAGACCACAGTAGGGGGAAAAATGGTAAATGGCATGCATCCAGCCACTCAAAAATCATGTACGAACAAATCTAAAGGAAAAAAGTTCAGTAAACCACATTAACATATTATATTTATGTGCACCACATTTGCTTGCTAAAATATGATGAAGCTGTGAACTTTGAAACATGAAATGAATTTTTAATTGAAAATAGGCATAAAACGCATGAATTGTTGGTGACAGTTATAGAACTAACCCAATGTTAATATTACAAAGGGGGAAATGCAAGCTCTAATTTCATGAAGCATTATCTGATTATCTCCTAGTTAGTAACTAACATATAAAAGCACATAGAGATGTAGGGCCCATATGTAGCTCGACTAATTATTGTTGCATATTATCGGGCAACGATGGACTCCGTGACGAGATTTCTGAATGATTGATGAGAAACCCATCCATCAATTTTCCATCTCTCCTTTTCCTTTTCCAAACTTGTAACAGTTCAAACCACAAGGTTTAAGGTAGGAACATGACTAAGTCTGGCATTTGAGCCTTTGGCCCTTGATGAGTAAGAAATTTCCAGACATTGAAAATTACACAGAATAGTTTTAGAAAATTAAAAAAGAAAAAGAAAAAGGAAGGATAAATTAAGAACCAAATTGAAGTTAGATTTCCAATTTTCAATTTTTAAAATTAAAAAGGAAGAATGATTTTTGGACGACATGCTAGCATTCAAAAATGTGTAATTCAATAAAACAAAAACATGAAAGATGTTCAGTTATGATGAGTTCTACAACTACGTTCAAATGTACTCAACAATTTTGTTCAACAAATACATGTACCAAAACAAAAATTAAGCAATAATTGGACTAGCAACCAGCAGCCCAATCCCCCGAAAAAAAAAAGAAAGAAAAAAAAAAGAGTAAGAAAAAAAGATAAATAAATAATAAAACTTTGTATGGTTATGGTGTCACCCCAAAACATTGGTAAAACTCAAACCAAAATTATTTTAAATGCACATGGGTGGTGATTGAAATGCATAGAATCAATCCTTTGATGATTGGGTTTTATGTGACATTATGCCAAACTACTAAAAGTTTTGTTTCTTCCTATGAAGATATATATAGTTGTAGTGTCCAGATGTAGCCCACATAATCAATTAACGGTAATTAGTGAACAACGATGGACACCCTCAAGAGATCTCTTTCATTTCTTTTCCAGACATTCAACGGTCCCCACAATCATGCCTGTGGTAGACACCTGCCATAGTCTGGTCAAATTCCAACGGGTCAGAAACCACAAAAGGAAAAAAGAAATGAAAAATGCCATACATCTGGCTACACATAAATCATGTATGAACAAATCAAATGGCAAAAAGTTCAGTAAACCACATTAACAAATTATGTTTGTGTGCATGAACACCAACCCCATTTGCTTGCCACACTGCCATAACGTGAATTTTTAATTGGAAAATAGGCATTAAACACACGAATTGCTAGAGTTGGTTTTATAACTAACCCAACATTAATATTACAAAGAGGAAATATGCAAGCTCTAATTCCATGTAGGGCCCAGATGTAGCTCGAATAATTATCAATTGCAAATTATCGGGCAACGATGGACTCCATGAAAAGATTTCTAAATGATTGATGAGAAACCCATCCATCAACTTTCCATCTCTCATTTTCCTTTTCCAAACTTGTAACAGTTACAACCACAAGGACTAAGGTAGGAACTTGACTAAGTCTGGCATTTGAGCCCTTCAGCTCTTGATGAGTAAGTACTTTCCAGACATTGAAAACTTTGTGGAATAGTTTTAAAAAATAAAAATTAAAAACAAAACAAAAGGATAAATGAAGAAAGAAATTGAAGTTATTTCTGGGTTTCCCTATTATTTTTCTTTCCCTTATTAAATAACTCTACCAATCCATGATCCAAACACAACCCAAGAAAACAATAAATCAATGAAAGATCTAGGGATTTCAATTGAGTTTACCTCTGATGATGCTAGGGAAGGATCTTTATGCACTTTATGCACTTTTGGAATACAAGCAGAGACCAAACAAGATGAGTTCTTTTTAATGCTTTTAGCACCATAAAGACGTTTCCTCCAGAATAAACATTGAGAGATTGAAGGGGTTTGGAATACATAACTGCCAATTCCAACAACACAGTTGCAAACATCAAATCCTTACCTTTAAAATTCTATCAAACCCAACCCTGATATTAAATGAAACACTTTCCATAAGCACTATTGCATTTTAGAAAAAAACCATTCATAAAAATGCTGCATTTTTTAGACGAAATCGTGATTTCAAGTTGTGATTTTCAAAAACTAATAATTTAATTTTATCTCAGTCTCAAACTTCAATTATAATTATTAAAAAAAAAAAAAACTTTTTTATGTTTTATGAAAACAGAAAAACAGAAACTGAGAATGATAGGCTCTAACCTTTTCAATAAGTCTGGCACTTCCAACTAGCAGACAGCAAAGGGAACGATGGGGGTGATGGTATAGAACTTGGAAGAAAGGAGGGCGGAGGAGAGAGGCTGCAGTCGTTTATATAAGGTTGATAAGGAATGCTAGGGTTTCATGGGGGTAAGGGAGTAATTTACTAGTTTATATTTAAGATTACACTCATATTTTATATTTATATATATATTTTTATTTAAAATTAAAAAAACAAATAAGTAGAGTTGAGGCAAACAGTAAATTATTCAATATTAACTTGAAATGAGTTATTAATGTACGAAAAATGCTTTGGAACTCTAATTCTTGAGCTCTAAAACTAGCTCTAATGAGTTGACAGTGGGCTCCACCTATAGTGATGTGATGTTTTGGTCTTGGCTCGTTTTTATTTTATTTTTTTCACTCATTGCCATGTCATTAGTGCTCTATTAGAGTACCAAAATTAGTGCTCTAAATAATTGTTGTTAATGTATTGAAAACAGAATGGGACTAAATGGAGCATAAGAAAACTTTTAGGACTAAATGGTTCAACTTTTCAGAAACTAGGACTTATGGGTAAATTTTCCAAAAAAATTCAAACCTTGAAGTGCAAATAGAGATATTTTAATAAAATGGAGGATAAAATTAAAACCAAACTATTATGGCAGATTAACAACTTTGTTAACTGTAACTAAATCACAATACATGCAATTTTAACCTATTAGTTGATTTAAGAATAATCTTAAATAAATATTAAGTATTTACATAATACTAATTTGCATAATATTTCTTTTATATATATATAACACTAACTGATTTTATTAGGAAAAATTGGTCTAAGATCCTTATCCAACTTTTAGTATGAGGAGAGATCCACAATAATATTTTCTGGTGTCTAAGGTCCCTCAATGTTAGTTTAGTTTATAAAATACCTATTTTACCCTTTTGTATATTATACGTGGTTTTCAATTTTGGAATCTGAAGATTACGTTACTATTTTTGTGGAAGATTACTTTGGGATGAACTTGGCGATCGATGGAGATTTCGATGATGCAGATTTCGTGGAAATTTTATAGGAATTTTGTAGTCGTATAGTAGTTGAGTTTCGTTGATCGTGTAGAAGTTGAAGTCGTGTTGAAGCTCGAATTTCCAGTAGAGCTGTATCAGGTAAGTTTAATAATCAGTTTAAGTTTTTTATTTTTCATTTGATTTGTATATATGGACTCCGATTTCAAATAAGTTTTTGTAGTTTATTTTGAATTAGGTTTTTATTTTTAGTTTTGATCAAAGTGATAGAAAAGCCAGCTTAGTGAATTATTTTTTGATTTTTGAAGTTGATTTTTCATTCTTTATTATTGACAATGGAGTTGATTTTTCATTCTGTGTTACATGTTTATCAATGATAAGTTTTGTTCTTCGTGTTTGGAGACCGGCTCTGTTTTTCTTCACTGTCTTAAGTTTTGTGCTCTGTTTTTTTCATTTATTCTGCACTTTTTATTTTTCTACACTTTGCTTTGTATTCCAAAGAAAATTATATGTTCATATTCCAGAGAAAATTGTATGTTTATATTCCAGAGAAATTTCTCTACATTTTGATTTGAGTCCAATAATACACAATCACACAGAGAAAATTATAAGCTTGTAGTCCAGTGAAAATCACAGAGAAGCTTATAATTTGATAACTGATCTTCTGTGTGATTTTTGTCTGTGATTGTATTTAATAGGTAGCATTGAATATCTCTATGATTTTCTCTAGATTCATTAATTCTTCTGTAATTTTGTTTTTGTTATCTTGAAGGTGAATTTAAGTTTGTAAATTTCTCTGGACTTTTATTTGAGTCCAGAGAACATTATAAGGTAGGTATTATAATCCAGAGAAAATTATAATTATTAGAAATTTCTCTAGACTTTTATGTTGTTCTTGTGAAGTATTTTTATATTGAACAAGTTATTTTTGGTATTTTTTGTTTCAGTTTAGATGGACAGTGCAGTGTTGTTGTTGTGCAACTATGGGAATGATACTATTATCATTAATGTTTCATACGAATTGAATTGATGATGCTATGATTTTACTTGCATTGAGTAAGAGACCAGCTGGGAAGCCAAAGAAGAACAAAATTGCTTCTACTGAAGAGTTTAAAAGGGTGATTAAGTGTAGTCGATGTGATAGGATTGATTGCCATAATAAGAGGACATGCAAGGAACCTTTCTTAAATAGTTGAGGATATTACATTTATTGATTGAATAATACATTTGAGAATTACTTTGTGTATTTTGTTTTGTGAAATGTACTTTTTGGACAATGCATATATAATACCAATCAAATTCATCTAGAGAAATTTTTTAATAGCAGTGAAAATTACTTTTTATGTTGCGTTTTTAGAAACATACTTTGGGAGTGCCTTTATAATACCAATCAAATTGATCCAGAGAAATTTTCCTATAGCAGAGAAATTTGCTATGTGCATTGTGTTTGTTGAAATGTGCATTGCGTTTTGTGAGGTCAAATTCATCCAGTGAAATTTGTCAATAGTAGAGAAATTTGTGAGGTCAAATTCATCCAAAGAAATTTACTATGTGCATTGTGACAAATTTATCCAGAGAAATTTGCCAGTAACAGAGAAAATTACTTTGTGCACTATGTTTTGTAAGGTCAAATTCATCTAGAGAAATTTGTGAGATGAAATTCATCCAGAGAAATTTACTATGTGCATTGTGGCAAATTTATCCAGAGAAATTTGCCAGTAACAAAGAAAATTACTTTGTGCACTATGTTTTGTAAGGTCAAATTCATCTAGAGAAATTTGTGAGATGAAATTCATCCAGAGAAATTTACTATGTGCATTGTGGCAAATTCATCTAGAGAAATTTGCCACTAGCAGAGAAAATTACTTTCTGCACTATGTTTTGTGAGGTCAAATTCATCCAGAGAAATTTGCTAATAGTGCACTAAACTACAATGTGCATTGTGTTTTTTGAATTTGATAATTGTTTCGTACCAACACAGTGCATTACAAATTAACATGATCATATAGGCACCCTTTTGGCACGATACGAGTTAAATTTTTCTGTGAAATTCTGGTAACTTCATACAAGAAAAAATTTCTTTAGACAATTTCTTTGCGTGGATTGTGTTGATAATCACCACTAAATATGCATTATAAAAAAAATATTTAACCATTGATAGTTATGAAATTTACATTAGTTAAAACAATATATATACATATATGTCAAAAACATCATTTCTTCAATATACGAAAAAAAAAATTGAAGGGTCATTCCTTATTACATGTGTACATTGTCTTCATTTCACTAGTATGCTTTCACTATTATACTTTTAGTTCTTTTTTTGGTGATATTTCAATTTGGTTCTGTCCATGACCGGCCAATTTCGGTCGCAAATCTCCATGATTTTTTGCCCTCGTGAACCTTAACGTCTTTGTTTTGACAATGTTGAGTTGATAGGTTCATGGTTGCTATATTGTCTCATTATGTAGCAAATGAAGAGGCCACAATGCACACTGCATACAAATTATAGGTATAGTTAGTTTTAAGAAATATTCAAATTAGATTATCTTATTTATAAAGTTTCTGTTTTCTTACTTTGGTGTTTATGGTGTTTTGCTGCTTTTTTTACGTTTCGTCATTTTTAGACAATGAAAACATAAAGATGTCAACATTAATCCCAGAGAAATTTACAGACAACAAGAAGAAAATGGAACATAACAAAACACACACAAAGGAGAAAAGTGATTGTGCCCGGAGAGAAATTCAAGAATGGAACAAACTAAACATATACCAGAGAAAATTTACACATGGCACCAGGAGAAATTACATATATGCCAGAGAAAATTAACAGGCAAGCCAGAGAAAATATGCATTCCATAAATATAAAAATCCCAGAGAAATTTACAGACACCAAAGAATAGAACTATGACAGACACACACAAAGGAGAAAAAATGATGTGGCCATAAGAAAATTCAAGTGTGTGGAACAAAATAAACATATCAGAGAAAATTACACACATGGTAAGCCAGAAAATATTACATATATGCCAAAGAAAATTAAAACAAGGCAAACTAGAGAAAAATGTATTCCATAATATGAAAATGCCAGAGAAATTTATAGAACAACCCA